ATTTACGAACTGAGTTGCAAAAAGGCAATATTCGCGGACTGAGCATGTTTTTTGCACTTACATTTGGCTTGAGTCTTTCATTAATCATTTTTGCTCTTAAATCATCATAAGAGTTTTTATCCAGCAATATGGTCTACTTCGCAGAGGGCAGTTTTGGCACATTAGAAAAAAATTTGGTTTTTGTGCAGTGTTATGGCAAACATCGGTCAAAAAGGAGAAAATTTACTGTCAATGATTTTAAATTTTTTTTACAAACAGTAGCCTGACAATGTGTCATATATCTTTAGGGGATTTCCAGAATCACCGACGTTTGGGAACGGGATTTTTGGAACTGAGATGACTATATATGCTACCACAGCTAAAAATAGGTCAGATTTTTGTGCGGGGCTGTAGGATTGTATGTCCGAATTCAGGCATCTGTTGTAGTTCGATAAGGAAAACAAGTTTAGAATTATGCTGTTTGCTTCGTTGAATACTAAGAATATCATGATTGCTCGAGCATTTGATGTGAGTTCCCATAGTAGTGATATTAATAGCCGAGGCGAAAATGTTCCAAGCTCTTCACTTCTTACCACACTTCATGCTGTACAGGATGATGGACCATGCAGTACAGGATGGCGTTATATCACAGCTACTGCGATATGCGCGCATTTCCACCCTTTTAGAGGGGTTTCTTGACTGGGCTAGACGCCTTATAAACATTTATAGACAAGAAAAGTTTGATATTGCTAGAGTGGAACGCTGTGTTTTAAGATTTTGCTTCAGGAACTGATCAGTACTGAGCAAATTCATTTGCCCTGATGACCGAAGAATTAAAAACCTAGTTAGTGCGATATTCTCGTGAAAGCTGTTTCCCCATAACTTCATAGAATTACTGTCCTTATGTTAGTTTCCTCCTCTTCCACCTTCTCTACCACTCCTATTCCTTTCATGATATTACATTTTTTCTCCTTCTCACTCTCTCTCTCTTTCCTTTTCACTCATCCTTCTAGCAAATTAAGTTACATGTCCTTTCAACAAATAGCTGGTAGGGGGCTGTACTGACGATTCCCACTCCTACTCGCATGCATAGGTATTTACAGCTAAGGGATGAAACACAGACTGCATCGAAAAATATCACTCTACTACATATAAAGGATAAAGGCAGTTTGCACGATAAAATATCACCTTGCACATGATCTTTGCCTGCGTACAGCCCTGTTGGTCTATTATTTCTATTCAGTACTTTTTATGCGTTTTTGCGTATGTGCAAATTGCAAAAAACACGCATTGGCAAGAGGCTCTGTGTGTATGTGTGTATGTTCGCACTTTTTGTCACCCAATTTCAACTCGAGAACCAGAAAAGTTAGAAACTTTGGGAATATGTGTCCATATCATGCGCGACCCTTCCGTTTTGATTTCATCCCCCGCGAATGCCTGGGTATCGCGTATGGACGCTTTAAAAAAATGTGCAAATTTTTTGGCGGGAAGGCAGTCTCGGGAACAATACGAGGTAAGGGGCTGAGACTTTATAGGGATATTCACTTTTCATGTGCTAGCTAAAGATTTCAAAGTCAGTCCCCAGGTGTGCGTGGGACTCACGTAAGAGCGTATGAAAGTTTTAACATGAATACTGCTAACTCGCGAACCAGAAAAGCTAGAAAGCTGATATTTGGGAGAATGTTCCTTATCCAAGTACAGCTCAGATATTTCAAATTCAGCTCCAAGCTATGCTTGGTACTCATGTGAGGGCGTATGAAAGTTTCTGCTGGAAAATTACTAACTCGACAATCAAAAAAGCTGGAAGGCTGGGATTTTAGGGGAATATTCCTTGTCCACGTGCAATTTAAAAATCTCAAATTCAGCTTTCCAGGCACATAGAGTACACACGTAAGGGCATGTAAAAGTTTTGGCAGAAAAATTGCTAACTCGGTAATCAGAAAAGCTGGAAGGCTGAAATTTTGGGGGAATGTTCCTTGTCCAAGTACAACGTGAGTATTTCAAATTCAGCCTTGAGGTGTGCGCGGTTCTTACGCACGAGCACTTAAAATTTTGACTGAATTTCTGACTCAGTTACTTAGGCTACTTTTAAAGTGTGATCGTTAAATGGAAATTGTACATTTACTTTATGCGAAATTTATGGTGATTTATGCTAGTGACCGCAAAAGGTAGGTGTAAAACAGCAACCATTCATGCAGTTAATGATCTGAATACTTCACGTCCGGTGCAAAAACGCTTGATCGCACGGGCCTGTCCATTGCGTTCCAGCCTGGGATATTCTTCATCCTTCGCTGATGAGTTCAGTAGAAATTAGTGTGGAAGCAATTCGAGCTTCATGATCCAAAAGTATTTTGTCAGGCGTCAAAACTCGGGCGGCTGTTAATAACAGAAGTACGGAATTTTGCTGTAAGTTACGTACTTCTGGCTGTTTTAACTTGAACGCAAATCTGTCCGTTAAATTTTTTGTGGCGATTTTTGGATCGTTCACTGGTTTCTTTAACTGGAAAAACCTAGTTGGCCTTCATTTTGAGACTCGGAAAAGTCACTGCAAAAATTTTTATGTTCTATCTGCTGGGGAAAAATTCAGTGTTTTAGCTTATTTATCGTTATTTTTCTTCAGCCACATTTTCCGTACATTGACGTGAAGCGGGAGCAATTGTACTTAGTGAAACGGAGTGATGGCGACAGAGCAGATGAAAATTGGCCCCTGTTTTCTGTGCACATTTTGGATGATAACTTGTTGGACTTCACTGAGCAGCGTCTCGACTCTGTCGATGCTTCTCGGCCATTGCTCAAACAAAGTTTGGTTTGTTATTCTCCTTCAAAGCACGGGTTTCCCAGCTTTTACTGTGGCGTCATACTCATTATGGGCTTAAGCAGCTGCTAACTTATTTTCACTATTTTCATCGCGGACACGCACTTCGCGGACATGCGCTCCTTGGCCAGTTGCTGCGTTCTTTCCAGTGCCTAGATAATAGTATTACCTCAGTTGTCAGTTATAGTGTTTTTGCAGAATGTAGGCGATTTCATACTGTCACAAATTTCAAGCAGTGTTTCGTGCAGTGATAACGGCGTTATATGATGCGGAAGTGGAAGTGCACTACATTGATTATGGCAATTATGAGACAGTTGAGTAGAGTTATCTTTGTTCCATGGACAGGCTGGTTCGTTTTTATGCGCTTTTGCTGTGCAGGACTATAGCTACAGTCAGCAAAAACGCATATTGTCGAGAGATTGTCTGGGTGTGTGTGTGTGTTCAAAAGCGAGTGCATTTTGTCACCCACTTTCATCTCAGCTCAGCAACCAGGAAACTGGGAGGCTTAAATTTTGGGTACATGTTCCTACCTTGTGTGTCACCTTCCCCGTCAGATTTTGCAACTTGATACTGTGCTAATTCGAAAATTTGTTGGAAAACAGTGGCTGAAATTTTGTCGGCATGTTTGTTGCCAATGTAAGAAACAATATATCTAAAATGAATACCGATTTGCACTTGCGCTACGACTTAAGGCACTTCAAATGTATTTGTAGCGAAGTGGATATTTCGCTTACCGGATAAACTGCGAGACTGAAAATTCGGTGGGATATTCTACTTTCAAGTGCGGTTTTAGATCTGCTTGGAGGTGAAATTCGCTGCAATTGGGCATGAGAAATACTCAACTTTACCGGAAAATTAGAAATGAGTACGTTTTGCAGCGAACGATCGCCCTCATCCAAATATGTAAATGAACATTCAGTTCATTTGCATGCTTGGATTTTTATGCGTTTTT